ACCCCCCTCTCCAGCCCCGCATGAAGCTTCGGAATCCCGTTCCGAACTGAAGATAATTCCAGATACCCAGGGACTGTCCTCCGCAGAGACCCTGGCCATCAATCTTTACTGCCATCCCCTAGCCCAAGTCACAGATGCCCCTAATCCGCCACAGCACGGGGGCCCGATAAGACCAGGACCACAGCCAGGGTGGGACGTGCCCGGGTCCCGCTGGGGCTCCCGTGCTCTCCTCGTGGTTATTTTCCTACATGCGATACAAACGGGGTGAGTTTTCCACCGAGGCCCGGGGTCCGGCACTCAGCTTCCCCGCCTTCTCCTCCTGCTTCTGTGCACACGCTCTGGGCGTACTGCACACGCCCACGGTGCACGGTCACGTCTGGGGCACACTCAGCACCGTCCGCGCCTTGGCACAGACCTGAACTCCACGCACTGCCCCTCGGGGTCCCGGTTCCGAGGCCAATCTGGCCTCCCTTCCCCTCGGCCGAGATCTAGCCTCCGCCGTTGGCACCCCCACCTGCGCTTTAACCTCTGGGGAAGACACAGCTTTTCTCAGCTTTTGGCGGGTCCATCCTCCCTCTCCAGCACACACGGGCCAGCAGGGACCGCTTGAAATCATCCTTCGGGCATCCTGCGTCCGGGGAGCCGCTCTGGCCAGGCCCTGGGGGTACAGTGGGCGATAAACCAATGCCTACACTCCCCCTTCCGGGGCAAACTTTCCCTGGTACACCTCAGTCCCAGAAAACCCTTCTTCCTCTCCCTGGCCATCTCCTCCCAACCACCATCTACATCTGGAAGATAAAAATAAACACTCATATGGCAGCTTTAATCTCCCCCGACTGCCTCTCATTCTCTCTTTTCCCCTCTCCCCCCCCACCCCACCCCGGTTCTCATGGTGCTCTTTGCCTAATTTTCCCGATAGCCTTTCTAGAGGAAATGTGCTAAAATTAAAAACAGCTTGAGAAAAGCAGTCAGGACCCGGAGTTCAAGGTCAGCCTTTTCCCAAAGACGGGATCCTGCCCAGCAGGTTAATCTCTCTGGTCTTTGATTTTTTTTTTTTTAATCTACAGAAGGGGAGTGATTATATATGTTCCTCTTAACAGGATAATTGGGTCTCTGAGTCCCCACCTCCACTGTAAAACCAGTGGCCCGAGACAACCCTTGTGGAAACCCTCTCTTGGCCATGACACCACGAACACGGGACTTCTCGTAATCCTCACCTTGTAACTCAGACACTTATAATGCCCTTGTCCCAGAGTAGGAGGAAACATCCCTAAATTCTTAACCCCTTTTTGAGGCAGAAGATATTCTATCAGTCAGAGCTGTTCACCCCCAACCCTTCCGTAATAATAATAATTATTATTTATTGAGAATTTATAACGTATTAGGTGACTTCAATGCATTATCTCTTTTATAAGGCAGGTGGCACCCACACTTTACAGGTGAAGAAACCGGGGTTCAGAGAGATTAAGTCATTGGTCTAAGGCACCCAAATATTATTGCTTGAACCTGAATTGAAACTCACATCTAATGCAAATATATTTGAATAAAGGAACAAATACCCATCAATGCCAAAACACAGGTGACCCTTAAATAACGCAGGGGTGAGGGCACCGACCCTCCCCCACACACCCAGCAGTTGCAAATCTGCATCTACGTTCTGACTCCCCCCAAAACTTCACTACCAAGAGCCTATCGTTGACCGGAAGCTTTACCAGTAACATAAACAGTTAATTAGCATGTATTTTGTGTGTTCTATGTTATCATGTGCTGTATTCTGACGATAAAGCGAGCTAGGGAAAAGAAAACGTCAAGAAAACCGTAAGGAGCATACATTTGTAATACCGTACGGTAAATAGCCCACACATAAGCGGACCTGTGCAGTCCAACCCCTAGTGGTGCAGACATCCCAAGACGTCAGCCTTCAGGTTTCTCCTCTCCGGCCGTAGCCTCCAAACCCCCTTCCTCTCTGCCCAGGTTTCCCTGCCTCCTTCCAGTCCCAGAGTCAGCTCTGTCATTTCCTTACGATGTGCATCTTCACTTGCACTGCCCAGCACGGGGCCATCAACCAGGGCCAGGTATGACAGCCGGCAGCCCGGGTCCCCGAAGGCAAGTGTCGGACCTTGGGATTCCCAAGGGAAAGACGGGGGTTCCAAGCAGAAGTACCAGGACCCTAGGCTTGCAGTTTCTTCCCCCAGCTGGACTGGTACGCCTGGGTCCCTAACGCCCCGTGCACCATGCGGATGCCCCCACCCACGACCAAGGAAGACGTGAAAATGGCCACAGTGATGGGCTCACTACCTGACATCCGACAGGCCTGTCTTCAAATGACCATCACGTGGCACCTGGGTCGCCGCCAGCCAGACATGGTGAGACAGGACTCTGGGAAAAGTCAGAAGGGAGACATGAGAGTGAGGGTCTGCATGCTTCTGCCTTTGGACTAGAAACTGACCGACGCTTTGTTCTTTCCCAGGTACCTCTGGGGCACCACAAAGAAAAGTATTTCTCAAGCCCCAAGGCCAAGGCTGTATTAAGCCAATTCCAAACAGATCTGGAAAACTTAGAAAGAGAGATCACAGCCCGGAATGCACAAGTGGACCTGCCCTACGACTACCTGAGGCCCAGCCGCATAGAGAACAGTGTTACCATCTGAGCTCTAGGGCGCCCCCGCCTGGAGGCCTTCAGATCCGCGCTAGTGCCGATGCTTCATCTGGAATTTCCAGGAGTCCAGTCTCTGCTGCTAAAGCTCTACTCTCTCCCCCCAACTAAAGCCCCCACGTCAGTATCCCACCAGTCCCACCAGTCCGGGGGGGCTGCAAACCTTTTCTGTAAAGGGCCAGCAATAAATGTCTCAGGCTTTGCAGGCCACGCGGTCTCTGTCACAACCACTTAACGGTCCCGAAACGGCACAAAAGCAGCCACAGACGAT